AGGCAGGACAATGAGGGTTTGTGGACAGGTAGGCCAGAAGACAACGAACGCGAATAATAAATAAATCTATGGTGAAAGGTAATTTTTGGCTTAAAAATGCTCGAAACCAAAATTATGGTGTCGTGAGTCGTGAAACAGATCGGAAGGAGAGAAAAATGATGGGATTGAGCAACAAATGATGATATGCAGCAAGCATCAAGTTTCATCAGAGTCAATCATGACATTCGTGAAGATGTATCTGGAAAGATGAATTTGCTGAGTTGGGGACAAGGTAGTTAAGGATGGCATACAAAGCGGTACATGTGCAGGTTGGCATGATCGGTGGCATATGGAGGCGGTGGAATGTCTATGATAGGGCACGGCAACTTTTTAAGAGGCATGCCAGTGTTTACGTGGTGTACACAACGGGTATTGCGAACTAGTGTTCACAATATGCACAAGACAGAAGAGATCACACGGCATTTATAGTCAACGTCTAGGACATGATCACCGATAGTAAATGTTCGGTCATCGATGAGAGAACAACCCCTCAAACACTAGATTTTCACGGAAGCACCACAGCACGTTGAGATAAGACAGAACTGTGCGACAAGAACAGCCGGGTTGAGTGGATGAGTGACCCAGCATAAGGAAATGTAGAAACACAAAAAGACATCTTTCACAACCGAATCCTCAACTGGAGTTCGCGGCTGAAAAGCATCGCCATTGACTTAATAAAAACTCGAGGAGTTCCGCACGCGATGGATCGGTGCAAGATTGGGACAAGTTTCCGTTGGAGTCTATGCGGGGGGAAGCTGCAACGGCGGCAGCCCATGAGGTACGTTTCTCTGTAGCCACCGGTGGTTCCGGTTTACTTAACGCCGGACCGGCAGCTGCAGCAGATTCGGCGTCGGACTGAGGTTCGGGAGGAGGACTACTAATAGGTTGGGGTGGGATAGCAAATACGTTTGATGGAACAGAAGCCCGATAACGTGGCTGATTATTGTACTGCCGCACCGGATGGGATGCCGGTCCATTAAAGCGATTGTAAGCAACTGTATTGCGCGGATTATATGGACGTCTCCAATTACCCCCGCCAACCGGTCGCCTCCAGTGTTCATCAGTGGCACTGTGGTATGAATTCACAGGTGATGTGGGACTACGAACAGGACGGGAAAATGAGCCCCTCGTAGAACTGTGATCATTGTGTAAATTTTGTTGATTATTTGATCCGGAATTCTCCGCATGGTAATTGGTATCCGGCATCATTTGGAAGGCACGACGACCACGCATCGGTCTACCTTGGGGGCGGTAAGACCATCGATTATCACGATACTCGCCACCGTTGTGAGGGTCAGGCGACGAAACGGATGGTGACGGTGATGATCCTGTGGGGCTGTGTGTACCCGAACCATTCACATCTACAGATACACTCATCGAAAGCTTGGTTCCCACTACCGAATTTCTATCGGTCTTGGCTAGGTTCTGATGCGGTCCGGAAGCATTTTGTTCGTGAAATGAGGATCTATTCTTTGCAACATCAGTCGGTGGAGCGCGAAACGAGAAACCATGCTCTTTTGTCCCGCGGAATGAACGAACACGTGGTACGAAACCCTGATGTCCATTTGTTTGATACGAGTCCCTTTGGTTCACTTGCTTTATTCTTCGACGGTTGCTCATGCGACCGTTTGAGGATCGATTCACCTGGGTCCATTGCTGCCCCGAATCACAATCTGAATCGTTGCCATTCAACGCAGCGTCGTCAACTGGTGAATGCATCTCTCCAGCGGTTCCATTGACGACGGTGGAAACATGGGAATCGGTTGCGTAACTTTCCGAGGCGGATTTGTGACTGATCAGTTGGGTTTCTTGAGCTGTGAAAACAAAAAGAATTTTGCATTTAATCTAACGAAAATGAGTATGAGAAAGCATTTGAAAAACACTGCTAGTTTTCTTTTTGCATCCAAACAACAATTTGGGAGGCATAATACATACTTGAAGACCAAGTGAGGTTACTTCAGTTTCAGTTTCAGTTTTACAACCATTAAACATGCACTTTCGTGCGCCGGTTTTGGTTGCCCATTGGGATAAAATAGCGAAATGAAGATTGGAATGTCGAGGCAAATTCGAGCGGAAGATGGGGAATACATATAGAGTGTGTTAGGAAAATAACGAGTGGATGCACGAGCGCCACTGTTTGCGACACCCAGCCATATCACTCAGTGTAGCTAACCATCGGTGACCATCATCCCGAGGTCCCCAGCCAGGGAGCCTAACGGGGCCTATGTGACCTAGTCTTCTGGTTAGGGTTTTCATACCCTTATGCCAGGTCTTAGCTTAACTGAGGTTAATACGGCAGTGGAAAGTAAAGCCAGCTCCTTCAAAGTCGTGCAGCCAAAAACCGATGGCAATCTCGAGGTCACCGAAGTGCACAGAACCTGAATTTCCAACGTTTGAACAGTAATACAACTACCTGAAATCTGTTATTGACAGCTTTAAAATCGCTCAGCTCAACATTACACGTTGGACGATCCAATTTACTCAGTCCAAGAGCTTAGGCTGTCTGATACCATGAATGAACATATTTGCATTGTGATATCAAGCTTCAATTAGTAGTAGGCGATTGGTGATAGGCAAGTTTGCTGTCGCCCGGTTCTATACCACGCTGGACCCAGCGGGGCCTTATGTGGTTTGCCATTCCAAGTCTTGGGGCTTAGGCTGTCGGTTACCATCACTGAACAACAGGTCTTCGTGAATATGGGGTCTACCGTCTGCTGTTCACCACACATTGGTGTGTAATAAAAAAGATCGTGCATCGTACTAATGTGCGCAGTAAAATTTCGCTTGGGGAATAATACTACCTAGGTACAGCCCGAAATGCAGTAAGAAACAGTGGAGTGTATAGAATAGAGCCAGATGGAATTCCACTCTAGAGTATCCTAGAATTCAAGGAAAAGTATGAAATACCGACATCAGTTTCCGGTGTGTACAATCACAGAGTGGAACTCCAGAAAGTTTTTTTGCAGGTGATTCCAACATACATTTCGTAAGCTAAGCGAATCCTCAGCTATTTCGGGCGATCACACATTTGGACTTAGCTGTCTGGGATGATTTTTGCTGCCTGCTACTAGGTCGTACTGACAAAATAATGTACGCAAAGTGGAAAACGTTGGAGAAATACGGCTCCCCAACAGTTAAGTAAACACATCTTAATTAAAAAAGGCAGATTCGAGAAGTGCGAAGGATTGCTTACAATTCATGGAAACGGACAACTTGAATTGAGGAGATCGATATAAAACCATGGAACTGAATGATAACGTAGCCGTCACTGATCACATGCACAATTTTTTCCAAATGGAAAGACCTGATAGTAGCATCCGGCATGGCAGTTGCTTTTTCGGAAAACCTTGATTTTTTCTTCGCATCAACCGTCGCCTTCCATTGATGGTAAAAATCCTTCTGAATATTCATAAGTACCATACATTTCTATAATTATAGTGGGAATCCAACGTTTGTGTTAGATCATCTTTTCATTTTTTTAACCAATGGATTGAATAGTTGATTCGATTCCATATACTTTTCCTTGATTCGGTGGGTTCTTGGCACGTAAGAGCCTATCCACAGCTCGAGCAAACAACCTAGACATAAAGACGACGAGCCAACCTGGTTTGCACAGCCCTTGCAATGGGAGATTCAACGAGTGTCCACTGGGAACGACGATTATTTGCCGAATCGTTATTGTTTCCATATAGTAAATAAAACCAAGATCCTTGCACTTTTTTAGATGGTTTTGGTTGCTGTTTGCCGAACGCCCATTTGATCGGTCGATGAAGGCATGGAAGATCAACTGCACTGGGATGCACGATGCAGATTTCAAAAAATTCGCGAAATTCAACAATTCAATGCTGTTTACGACACATTCGTCAACTGGTTAGACTGGAGGTTCACAATCAGGAGGCCCCAGGAGTTTCATGTGTAGAAGTCCTACACAACTTTGGGAATATATGTGTAACCATGTAACCACTGGTCTTCTAACTATCGCCCGACTCAATAAATATCGTTGATCGAGGCATTCTCTTCTCTGGTATTGGTAACACAAGCCCCAGGAACCATATCCTATTTTCTTCTATTTTGAGCGACTAATTCCTGTCCGTCTTGATCGTACCGCTACAGGTGTTCAGTTGACCACCGAGTTAGCAACGCCANACCTGTTGGGCCTTCGGGGTACACGGCAAAACCACAGGTGCTTGTGGCATTTTCGAAAGCTTGTCCATGTTTGAGCAGTGCAAACGAACCTCATCATCGGAAATCCGATCTATCCAACTTCCCTTCGATTGGATCGCCGTCTACAGTCGTTTATGTACACCGCGTCTCCGGGGTTCAATCAGCGTCCGAAAGTAAAGCAACGCCAAAAGAAGTTTTTTCGTCCTATTAGCATATCTACCTACCAATTGCAGTTCTGATACCCAAAAGGATGCCTTCTACGACGGTCACCGATCTCATTCGGATGAGTCGAAGCTCCGACATAGTTGTACTTGTAGGTGACCTCAACGCGCAGGTTGGAAAACTGTGCGCATCAGAAGCTTGTCTGGGCGGTAGTGCTCTGCCCAGCTAACGAACAGATAACGGCGATCGACTTACTCAGTTCTGCGCAGACCATCATCTGTTCCTATCAAGCACCAACTTCCGACACAGCTCTCGACGGAAGGCAACGTGGAGCACCAGTTCAACTGGTACGCTAACTCAAATCGACCACATAGCAGTAAGTTACCGTTGGCGTGGCTCAGTGCAAAATTGCAGATCCTGTTGAACCATCTGCGTTGAGTCTAACCACCCATTAGTTCTGATGCAGTTCAGTCTCCGACTGACTGGTCGGCGACAAAACCAGCAAGCTCGGATAGCTCATCAACGACTATCTGTTCCAGCAGTTCATGCACTCTGAGCCAAAGCTGGTGCGTAAGCTAAGTGCGCTTCAATGTGGTGATGTAGATGAACAGTGGGATCAGATTAAGCGAGCAATGCATTCCGCAGTGAATGTTCCTTGTGGGTCTGAGCCTGAAACCTTACGGAGGCAACAGATATCTCAGGAGTCAGTAGTTTTGATGGAGAAAAAACGACAAATCCCGATTTGCCAGGATCAAAATAGTTAGGTGGCATCTGCAACGTCAGCTCACGAAGAGCCTCAAGAAGGACCGTGAGAACTGGTAGGCAACAATAACTAGTGAAATGGAAGTAGCGGCTGTTTCGACTGATACGCAATACGGGAGATCGGCGAAATTCAATTAATGAAACAGTCTGCGACAGGAGGGGAGAAGCTATTCACAATAGGGATGAACGACTTGTTCCTTGGGCCCGGTGCCAACCAGGCTGCTTCATCTCCAACTGAAGCTCTGTGGGCAGTGTCATGCGATTCGCCAGCAGAAGCAGAAGTTCGGTGTTGCATTCAAACTCTGATGCGAGGCAAGGCAGTAGGACCGGATGAGCTTCCTTTCACTCTTTTCAAGATGGGAGGTGATGAACTAGGAAACTCTATTACTACCCTACCGCGCAACACCGCGGGATCAATTTGATCCCGATCATCACCAAATTGCTAGCTTCGGTCATACTTCGACGTCTGACGCCTTTAAGAGAGACTAACATCCGAGAACAGTAAGCCGGATTCCGGCCTGGCCGTGGATGTATTGATCAAATTTTTACTTTGCGTTAGGTTCTTGAGCTGCGTCATATCCACCGTCAGCCAACGATCGCAGTGTTCCTTGACCTGAAAGGAGCCTTTGACTTTGTTGACCGCGAAACTCTGATGGGCTGCCTTCTTCGAAAAGGAATGCCCTAGAAGTACGTTAACCTACTGAGGTCACTGTACTCACAGACCTCCGGTCGTGTAAGAATTTACAACAATCTAAGTGGCCGTTCGTCACCAGCAGCAGTGTTCGCCAAGAGGGTGCCCTCTATCGCTGTTCCTGTTCAATTTCGTCGTGGACGAAATGCTGGAGAGCGCACTAAGTGGACTCCAAAACGTAGGTATTGAATGGGCAGCTGGAGAAAAGCTGTGTGATTTGGAGTACGCCGATGACGTCGTCTGTCTGTTCGAATGTATGGAGGACGCGCAAAACGCACTTGATAGATTAACAAGTGCAGTAGCCACATTCGGTATGTGCTTTGCACCTTCAAAGTGCAGTGATGCTGCAGGACTGGGTTTCGTCTACTCCTACTCTGACACTAAATGGCAAGGATTTATTTGTGGTGGATTACTTTTCCTACTTAGGTAGTTACGTGACCAATGACGGTAACGCATCAAAGGAGATAACCACTCACATTTCCAAGGCTTGAGCAGCATATGCAGGACTGAAACACCTTTGGCGTAGATGCGACGTTTCACTGGAATTGAAAGGTCATTTATATTGTGCTAGTGTTCTTCCAGTCCTGCTTTAGGGTTGTGAAACCTTGAATTCGCGAGTAGAAGATATCCGTTGACTGGAAGTTTTCGATTATCGGTGTTTATGTAGTTTAGCTCACGTGGGATGGAGCCAACGGGTTAGTAACGTGGAGGTAAGCCGTCGTGTGTTTGGGAGTTTATCAAGTATAAACCTGCTAGCACACCGAATTCAGATTAGTAGACTTCGCTGGCTAGGGCACGTACTGCCCGCACTTTATTGGCTGTAGCCGCTCCTGGTTGGAGGAAACCACGTGGAGGTCAACAGTTGACGTGGAGACGAGGCATGAAGAAATGCACAGAGCCATTAGGTAAAGTAGGTATCTCTCGCCCTCCAGGTTGGGATCCGAAAGACTCCACAACTGGTTGGTTGGAGACACTGCAGGATATGGCAGCGAACCGACAGCAGTGGTGTTCTTGTCATTTCTTATCAGGCCAGAACGCTCGAAATGGTATGTATGCAGAGTTCGATTGTGCACTTTGTCTGCTGACCATAGTGGCTCACCTTCTTCTCCCTCCCTCAAAATAGATCCAATCCCTGTCCACCTTCAATTTTACCAGTAACCTTGTATGCATTGCGAGTTTGGCAGCGATCAGCGAAATTCGCTTCCCTGTATTTCGTTGTGCAATGATGCAGCGGAGGCACCAATGATCAAATACCTCAAGCTTCTCTGTGTTTTGCACCCTGATTCACAACCATAAAAGAGGATGGAGAGAAACTCGAAGCTTAGTGCTCAAGCTCATTCCGAACCGACTCTACAACGGTCTGAAGAGTTGGAGGAAGGATCACCTAGCTCCACCTACAGGAAGTTCGATTTCAGCCTTAGCCTGACCGTTTGGTCTGATTGTAGGACCCAGAAACTTGAAAAGTTCGGTTGACTCGACAAGCTCCTTGTCAATTGAGGGAGCGGTGACACCCTTCGACTCGATTACTTGTTTGCTTATAAAACCTTCGTTGTACAGTGTAATACAGTGAACCTACATTCACCGATCGCCGCCAAACTCATAATGCAGACAAGGTAGGTGAGAATGCATTACGAGGGTAGGGACTGGGCATATTTCAGGGACGGAGAAAGAAAGTGAACGCAGAGTAGACAGTACATCTGTGCATACATCCTATCCCAAGCAGTGGGCACTGATAAGAAGTGTAAGCAAGATTGTGACTGCTGTCAGTTCGCTGGCATAACCCTTGGTAACCATGTGGTTACGGTATCTTTTGAACCCCAACCCAGAAGACCAGAGATATCTACCGTAACTTATGGCTGTGCATTTCTTTATACCTCGTCGTCATGTCATCTGCTGGCAATCCACAGCGGTAACTGCAAATAGGACGTGGTGCGGTTGGCGACCGTCAGACACGCCAAACTTGGCCTAACCAACGGAGTCTATTGAGTTGAATCCGATGCAATAGCAAGTTTGTTTGATGCGCCCCTAAACACCTGATGATGTACACCTGGGTTACTAACCTGTTCGTCCCATCCCACTTGGACCAGACTAAGTAAGCATCGATTATCGGAAACTGCTTAATGACGAATGTTTTCTACCCGCGAATTCGAGATCTCACAACCGTAAAGCAGAAATGATCATACAGTGGCACAGTATACGCAACTTTTCAACTCTAGTGAAACGTCACATCATCGTTACAGGTGTTTTAGTCCTGCGTACGCTGCTTGAGTCTTAGAAATGCGGGCAGTTATCTCCTTTGGTGCGCTACCGTCGTTGGTCATGCAACTACCTAAATACGAGAAGCAGGCAACTTCAGCTAATTCCTGACCATCTAGTTTCAGAACAGAACTCAGCGACAGTCTTACAACATCACTTCGCACG